GGGTGGCCAAAAAAATCCTTTTAAAGTAAAAGGGGGGTTGGGAGGGCAAAAAAATTCGACAAATGAAGGGCCCCGGGTGTTTTTCCTTGCCTTTGGGGAACTTTGAAAAAAAGTTTTTTTAACCCCCGGCGGGGGGGGGGGGTTGGTGTGAGCCCCCCCTCCCATGGAGGAAGCACGGTTGGGGGATGTGTGCCAGCTCGCGCCGAGGAGGTCGACCAATGGTCCCCGAGCAGGAAACGGCGTCCCGACTTTTTAACAAGGCGTGAAAAGTCCCGGGAATTGGTGAATTGTTAGCCCCCTTTCCCCCCCCCCCCCCCCCCCCCCCCCTCCCGCTTCCCAGACCCCCCCACGGCTATATTTCTTCATTTGCTGCTGCAGTAGTGCCGCATTGGTCAAGATTACACCAAGGGGTGACAGCATCTCGAAACACACGGTCTGCCGACTAGTCCAGCACATCCAGGCCCGCTGTCAAAAATATGCCTCAACGCACGCATTCGAGCAATTGGAGTAAGGCACACAGGAGATGTCACTGCAACCAACCAAATACGTCTCTTCCGTAGTAAACACAACACAACACGCTGTACATGTAGGCCTCGTGGATTGACTAAACCCTCTTATCGAAACAAAGGAGACACAATCACCAGTTACACTACATCGGTCAGCACAAGAAAAAAATGCACTTCTTCGTTGTTTCTCAAATGTTTCGTAGTACTGCAGTAGTGCAAGCGTACAACAGCAACAGCAGTCGGTTTGCGTGCTGGTGTCGCTTTCTCTCTATCCCCGTCTGTTTCTCGGTCTCGCGAGTGTAGTGTGTGAAACAGACGTAATGTCTCCTGCAACTGCCATGATGAACGAACCGCCAGGTCTGGCTGCAACACATCAACAGAAGGCGGTGACTACCCCAACGCTGGACCGGCCATTCGTACAACAACAGACCAGATCATTGCTCAAACGAACCAATGTATTCCAGCACCGGCACAAACGAGAATAACCAGACACAAACCCGCTTGTGAGACAAAAGGAAAAGCAGCGGAATCTGCAAGAGACTTGACGTAAGGAAATATCCCATCCCACCCGAACACAACAAGAAGCGCCGTTTCCCCGAGCATCGTACGTCGTTGTATGCTACACGTACGAACGACCAAGTGCGGAAACCAAGCTCAGACTTGATAGTGCTAGATCCCCCCCCCCCCCCCCCATCTGTATCCTCTACAACATATTTGCTCTGCCCAGGCTTCCTCAACAAATTGCTTCTTTCGCCAAGAAGCCTTGACTATCACTCAGGGACGTCATCGCACTCGAGGTTCTGGTTGTACGCGAGAACAGGGGTGGGAGGACAGGGGAAGCGGTGATAGGAAGTTGTGATGCTGCAAAATCATAAACGAAGCATGCGGTATTCAGCAAACAAGAAAAACACCGCATTCCAGGTGATAAGATCGAGGGTCCGACAAGCACGAGGGAAAATACGGGCATCGCCTCTGAATCTGACAATAGACAAAAGAAAATACCAGAACGCCCACATACGTCTTCTCTATTCATGCCGCTACGCTACGCAAA